TTTATGGAGTGTGTATTTAAATATCTTTAAAATGTCTGACAAATCAGATAGAATTGATTGATCCCACGTAGATTTTTCAATTCTAGGAATATCAAGGTATTTTCTCTATCTTTTTATGGAGTGTGTATTTAAATATCTTTAAAATGTCTGACAAATCAGATAGAATTGATTGATCCCACGTAGATTTTTCAATTCTAGGAATATCAAGGTATTTTCTGCTAATGAATTACCCACGATATCCTGTATTGTATTGTAGACTAGAAGTTTTATGATGGGGTATTTGAACCAATACATAAATGCTCAATACATACTTGGATGATGGCTGAGTAGGAGTAGGAAAATGAGTACTAAATGTTACGCTACTGATTTGTATTTCAAAATAACCCTACAATCCAAAACGAAAAACTAGTCACAGCCACAAGATAATCATTTCCTCTAAGTTAAGTTAACATTTGCCTAAAAACTGGGGAAGAATTAGGATTTTTTTTTAACTTATGTTCTTTAATGAGCTGCATGCTCTATTCTCCCAGGGGGGCCTCTCTCTTCATTTACACAACACAATACCTTTTTTGCCCAGCACTTTCTCATCCGTACTTCCCCATCTAATCCTCTGTCCCTTGAAGGAACACACCTTTTTTCTACTATTTCCCCATGTTATCCTCTGTCCCTTGAAGGAACACACCTGTTTTTACTATTTCCCAATCTTATCCTCTGTACCCTGAAGGAACACACTTTTTACTTACCAGGTATGCTCCATGCTAAATTGGGGTTCAATTCTTTCAATCAGACAAAAGTCAATTACTGTTTATACTGATACATTTCTTTAAGATGACAAATGTTCAGCTGTTTAAACTGATATTTGAAATGACAACTATGAACTGCTGTTTAAATGAATGTTTGTGGTGACCATAGTACTCTGGTGTTTATACTGACACTTGAGGACTCTTTTTAACTGCTGTTTAGATGTATACCTGAGATGACAAAAAACAAACTGCTATTTAAATGTATACTGTTAAAGTGGAATTTTTGGTGTTGAGGAAGTGTTCGTGTTTAGTAAATTAGCATGAAAATATCCATACCCAAACACTTACTTATACAAATTATTCATCATAGATAAACAGAATATATTATAGAATTCAGAACCATTGCCAATGCCATCCTCACCACATTAATTAAAAGGGTCAAACTTTCACTTGAATACTAATAATCTAGATTATAATTGTTAATCAGTCTAGAATGATAATTTCAGCTGACAATAGTTTAACTGTTTTCAGGGATATTTGATTTAAATTGTTCAGCTTTTTATTCTGATTTTTGAGATGAGGATACTGTATATTGCTGTTCAAAATAATAACTAAAATGACAATATAGTTAATCTGTTTAAACTGATAGTTTGAATGATATTGTAAAACTGTTTATAATGATATTTGCGATGACAATTGTTAAGAAGTATATACTTATGTTTGAAATGAAATGGACACACTGTATGCATGTATATATATCTTTGCTATCAGTCTAAGAACACAACAACATCAATGTTCAAATTCTTACATCAAAATTTTCTTCTATAATATTTACTTCATCAACCCATGAACACAAAAACATTGAAGTTCAATCCTTATATTGAAGATTAAGTGGAGCAATGGTGTAAATATCTTTTCATTATTTCTAAATTGATATACACTTCCTCTACTTTAACTTAAAATTATGTGTTCAGTTAAGAAATGATGAAATATAAATTTGAATAATGTCATTCAAGACTGAATGTTGAAGTTAACATGACACTCAAATGCAGTAAATTTACTTACCAATGAAGTCGTGATTTAGATAGATATGTCTCAAGAAAAGTCTTCAATCTACAAAACCTGAGACTTGAGTCTATCACTTGATTTGAACAAAATAGCATCCATGTTCTCTTAAACTTTGGTGTCTTTATGTCCAAACTGACTCGCCAAATAATGAAACGAGAACTTTGCAGTAGATTTTATCGTAACTTTAAATATCTTTAAAATATCTGACAAATCAGATAGAATGCATTAATCCCAAATAGATTTTACAATTCGTGGAATATCAAGGTAGTTTCTGCTAATGAATTACCCACAGTATCCTGTTTTGTATTGTAGACTAGAAGTTTTATGACAGGGTAGGTGAACCATTACATAAATGCCCAATACATACTTGGATATGATTGGTGGGCGGCTGAGTATAGGAGAGTGTTTTTCAATACTGCAAGGTATATATATATATATGTATAGAGATAGAGAGAGAGGAAATCCTGAAATATTGGCAAAATAAAAGAATGAAATACAAAATATATTATAGGGGTGGGTCGTCAATTAATTAAGGGGAACACTGTTTGTATACATGTACATACAATATATGTGGTATTACTGTATTTCTAAATGTATATTTCTCTATCAATGATAACCTACTGTACTATATTCTAGCTATGAAGTGCCCATCCTTTATACATGTCATCTCCTTTTCACCCGAGTGTCTCATTCTTTTATCCTAATGACTACCAACTTATAGGAAAAAAGTGTCTAACATGGCGATTTTTGAGGATTCAGGAAGGTTATGCAATCTGTCTGATTTTAACAAACTTCTTTAAGTGCCAAGGCCTAGGGTGCTTATTAGGTCAAGTAGATTAACTGTATTAATTGTTATATCGTATTTGAATATGGTATCTATGTAACAGAAATCTTAATCTGAAAAAAAAAATTGTGGTGTTAAAAAATAATATGATTGTAGATTTCTTCATTTTAAGGAAAATGAGGCAAAACACTGGATTAATAGTTGCTGATTTCTCAATCTTAAGGATACCTGTCCTACCTAGAGTTAGTTTCTAAATAAACACTTCGGGAAAAAGTCTGTCACTGTTAAATACAGGCACACTGGTTTTGAAAACTGACTTATTGAGGGTCAGGTACTAAAAACAGCACAATTTGTATGAGAAAACAGATTGTTCAATTGTAGTGCTTTCTCAAGTATTTGTATGAATGAAACCCTAACAGAAAATGTTCAGCATCCAAAATTGCTACAGCAGCAATCCCTTCAGGCATGTATGTGTCCATTGGTATAGGAAATGTTCCTGTATATCAGCCATTAGTTTGTGATGAGGTAAATTAGCCGTACGTGATCCTACATCTAAATCATGAGTCACACATGTCAATCACAATAAGCTTTCTTCAATTGTTCCTTTGAGAATTAGCATACAGTGTCTGGTGTTACGATCCAGACATCTCGGTTCCAAACTTGTGTCTGTGCGCGGCTCTCTTAGCTGCATTTACAACCTGTAATAAAAACATTTTGAGTAAATTTTACAACACATCATACATGTCAATTTCTGAGTCTCCCAATTCTCCTTTGTTTGGTGCTTAAAATACCTATTTTTCTGGGTTTTAAATCCTCATAAAAGCAATAACACACAAGTAATGACATCTTTTCAAGGTTAACTTTGGTGATCAGAATAAAGAAAAAAAATCTACAGCTGATTTAAAGCACCGAGAGGTGTGAGGGATAATTGATGGAGATGCAGACAAAGAAATGAGAACATGCATGAAGTTTCGAAGTATCTTAACTTCCCTGGACAATTATTTTGCAAATGTGCTTCAAACATCAAACAACAACTTATTCAGGATGGAAATTTGTTCAAGGACAAAAATCAATATGCATTCCTTGTTTTCATCTAAACATCGTCTGTAAAAAGCAGCATACCAAAGTGACAGTCATTTTACATCATTACTTCTTATTCTCCTGTGGAATTTTCCTGTATATGTTAATTTTATATGACTGTAAATCCCATAGAAACATTGAAAAACTGTTAACCAGTATTTAAAATGTTTTTTTGCTGAACATGGCTGATAACAAGAGTATGCTATCCCTTGAATATGTTAAAATTTAAACAAGAGGCCTGTAAGCCTAAACACATCTGAGTGAACAGAAAAGTATTCAAGTGAACAACTGAAACAGGGTAGTTCAGTCATTATTACTATATCCAGGCCTTTAATGGCAAATACTCTAGGAGTTATCTCCCTTCCACTTGAATCGGATATGAAGGACGTTACAACCAGCGTTGGAATTTGACCCCTGAGTTTAGTACCATTTTAATGGCTGGGGGATACATTTGACCACAGATGAAAAATCACATATGTCAATCAGCATTATAAAGCTGGTAAAAAATCCAAACACTAAACCTGCCAGTTTGTCAGGAAGAAGATAAAAGACACACACATGCGGTAATAGATACAGTATGCTGAAAATAAAATACACTGCACCATACAGCTATTCTGTCCTTCTAGGACTCGATCATCAGTGATGCTTGGGGTCAAAAAAGGTTGAAATCCAAATTGGTCTAAGTTTCTATTGAAACAGAGAGGTGTATAATACTGCTTAATTAAATGAATTTCAACAAGAGGCCCAATGGGCCTGCATTGCTCACCTGGTATAAAACTTACTCTTGTAACCTTAAAAGTGATCTAAAATAAAGCTATAGGCAAAATATCAGTATTTATGATTAAAATTCATTCAAAAGACCCTGTTAATTTTTTTGAAAACATTTCACCCATGTGATTGAAAGTTGAACAAAGTCATTATGTTGAACACATTGTATAGCCTTTCATCTTAGGATGCAACTTGCTAAGTATAAACATCCTGGGACCCATGGTTATTCATTAGAGGTTGTTTAAAGATTTTAAACAAATTTGACCCCTGTGACTATGAATATAAGTCAAAGACATTCACTTTAACAAACATAGTAGTCCTTGATCCCAGCATATGTTACTGACTAAATATCAACATCCTGAGCCTTTTGGTTATTCAGATCAAGTTGTTGAAAAATTTTGAACATATTTGCTCCTTGTGACCTTGAATATGATTCAAGGTCATACATTTAAACAAACTTGGTAGCCCTTGATCCTTGTATGCTACTGACTAAATATCATCACCCTGTGCATTTTGGTTATTCAGAAGTTGTTTAAGGTTTTAAACATATTTGACCCCTGTGACCTTGAATATGGGTGAAGGTAATTCATTTGAACAAACTTTGTAGCCCTTCATCTTAGCATGCTACTGGCCAAATATCATCACCCTGGGCCTTTTGGTTATTGAGAAGTCATTTGAAGATTTATACATATTTGACCTCTGTGACCTTGAAAGTGGGTCAAGGTCATTCATTCAAACAAACTTGGATGCCCTTTACCCAGCATGCTACAGACCCAATATCAGTACCCAGGGCCTTTTGGTTATTGAGAAGAAGTCGTTTGAAGATTTAAAGACATTTGACCCTTGTGACCTTGAAAGTTGGTGAAAGTCATTCATTTGAACAAACTTGGTAGCCCTTCATCCCAGCATGCTACAGACCTAATATCACTACCCTGGGCCTTTTGGTTATTGAGAAGAAGTCGTTTGAAGATTTTAACATATTTTACTCCTGTGACCTTGAAAGTGGGTCAAGGTCATCCATTCGAACAAACTTGGTAGCCCTTCATCCCAGCATGCTACTGGCCAAATATCATTAGCCTGGGCCTCTTGGTTATTGAGAAGAAGTTGTTTAAGTAAAAAGTTCACGACGGACGGACGCCGCACCATGGCATAAGCTCACTTGGCCCTTCGGGCCTGGTGCATGAGCTAAATATACTATAGTAATCCAGTACTGAATTACGGATTAAAACCACGTGTACTTGTACTACTTTTACTTAAGGTCTACTATATTTACTCCGCCCTATCACAATCCCTTATCAAATTATATTTATACAATCCTTAAAAACTTTATTGATTTGATGAAAATATCCAAATAATAACAACCTTTGGGTCAGAGCCTGATCTACTGGAGGTTTATATGAATTTTGTTGAAATATTTTCAGTAGAATAAGAGATTTATTTTTTACATTCCCATGAGGTTTCATTGAAACAGTCCCCTGAGCAGAATCGGAGTTCATAAGTTCAAAAAAGATTTTGCAAGTTTCAAACCATTTGTTAGCTAAAGGCACACAGAAGTGACAGGGATTTTCCCCTCACTCAACTAAATCTCTTTTATGAATGAAACCAAGTAAGATGAAGATTGAATTCATCAAAAAGAAACAAAATATGCATCTCTGCTTCAGTGGTGGCACAATTCTGCTAACTTCCTATATCAATACAGTGCTGATTGACGGAGTAAATCATGATCTACATTTACGACAACTCTACTATATTAACTCCACTCTCTAGCGATCCCTTCAGAAGATATCTTTATGAAATCATTAAAACAAACTTGAAAGACTTTATTTAAAGTTTTGAATTAATCATAATAAAAAGTCTGTACCCGTGTATCCCTTGAAACCACTGAGGAAAAAAGATCTGTCAGGAAATAAACACTGTTAATTTTGCATTCCATGCAGAATGAGCAATAACCAATTAAGGCAGTCTACATGTATCCCACAAGGCTGTATCCCACACAATACGTACAAATGGATGTCCTCTGGGGGAATGAAGCATGGAGGTTTCCTATAAAATCAAATTGTTCCTAACATATGAGATGGAGCATTTCAGTGTGAAAAATCATGATCTGCAGACAGAGATTAAATAACTGGCCAAACTAAAATGTGTTACGATTCACATTTCACATGCTTCATATATGGCTGATTAAATTAACAGCCAAGTTCTGCTTCCGTCAATAGGACCATGTCAATTTATGTCCCCGAGACAATTGTTTTCGTGATTTGATTTACAAACTGATGGATGTGACACAGCGACACAGGGCCAGAGAATTATGTAATTAGAGAAGGCCTTGGAATGAAAAAAAGTTGGTTGTCCTTATCCAAAAATTAATTTAGAGACCAAGCTTCGACGCATACAGATCCTGACTACATTTATAAAGAAAACCCATATTGTTCCAGTTCTGAAATATAAATTTATAGTTTAGTCTAGTTTAATTTGATGATTGATATAGATCTAGAATAAACTTATGCTTTATTGTCAACAACAGTAAAAAATATAAAGTTGGACTTATCATAATTGTTAAAACTACATTCAAAATGTATAAGGTAATACGACAGGTCTATCAAGACAGGTTCTACTGAAGTGACAAAAGGGGATGGTCTATCAAGACAGGTTTTACTGAAGTGACAAAAGGGGATGGTCTCTCAAGACAGGTTTTACTTAAGTGACAAAAGGGGATGGTCTCGCAAGACAGGTTCTACTGAAGTGACAAAAGGGGATGGTCTCTCAAGACAGGTTGTACTGAAGTGACAAAAGGGGTTGGTCCATCAAGACAGGTTCTACTGTAGTGACGAAAGGGGTTGGTCCATCAAGACAGGTTCTACTGTAGTGACAAAAGAAGATGGTCCCTCAAAACAGGTTCTACTGTAGTGACAAAACAGGATGGTCCCTCAAAATGATATAATAATAATAATATACAACATTTATATAGCGCCCTATATAATTTGTAAAATTACTCTAAGGCGCTTTACAACAATTGGATAATAGTAATGGTTATAATTGTGAAAACAAACAACAAAGGCTTGCAATCACTTTCATACATTTAACAAGCAATGTGCACATAATTGAAAAAATAAAAGGGTGGTATTTACATGACGTCTTTGCAAAGGTTCTAAAATGCAGACGTGAAGAGGTGAGTTTTTATGTCCCTCTTGAACTTGGCCAGGGTAATTGACTTCCTAATAGCAGATGGTAAGCTATTCCACAACTTAGCCGAAACCCTCCCTCCGTAGGTCACAGTACGAGATTTTGGGACACACAACAAAGATTCTAACTCCGACCGCATTGATCTTGACGGCTGATACAGGGTAACAAGCTCCTGTAGGTACTGAGGAGCTGTTCCATTCAGTGACTTGTATGTGTACACCAGAATTTTGTACTGCAACCTGTATCGTACAGGTAACCAGTGCAATGAATAAAGCGCAGGTTTGATGTGCCCTCTCTTTCAAGTACGAGTAACTTGCCGTGCTGCAGTGTTCTGGACCCTCTGCAGACGACTAGTTAGTTTGTCAGATAAACCACAGAGCAGGGCGTTACCGTAATCCAACCGAGAGGTAACAAGTGAATGCACCAAAGTCTTGCATGCATCTGCAGTTAGAAACTGCCGAATACAGCCGATGTTCCTGATCTGGTAGTAACAGGATTTGGCAATAGCGTTCACTTGTTTCTTCATGTTCAGAGAAATGTCCAAGTATGCCCCTAGGTTTTTAACAGCTGGAACAGTCTCAATAGTTTTGACACCAACCTTGAGCTGGAGAGCCATTGTTCCTGACACTTTGGGGAAAAGACGATTAGTTCCGTCTTTTCCTGATTA